GTGTCAGGGCGAGAGGCAGAGAGAAGAAGGGGGGGGGGGGGAGGCTTAGATTGGATGTTGTTTGAAAAATACGTGTGCATGTGTACTCCATGTGCAGACTGGTAAAAGCGTTAATTATCTGCTGCTGCAAGAAACATGTGTTTACACTATCGTTAAAAAGCATTATGTATAGTTTAATGTCGCTATATGGAGGACGAGCTGAAGTGACATTGGATAACTTTATTGAATAATGCTGGACATTGTTCAATAAAGGTATCCATTGTCACGTCAGCTCGTCCTCCTTATTGCGATATTTAAATTGTTGTCTCCTCACCGAATATTTATAAAATGGTTATGTTTTGGTACTTTGACCTTTGACAATTTGGACATACTTGCCACCCCTGGTTTGACTTTAGGGTCTTTTCCACAGAAATAGTTCCCACATTTTTTATCATTACTCTTGACATATTTTACTTTTTTTTAAATTCACCATGGACACTGTATCTGTACTGTTCTTCTTATGGTTAAACACGTACACATTGGCATCATCCGAACAGCTTATCAACCCACTACTATCCATGATGGTACGTGTTCTTGCAGTAATTTAACGCTTGCTACGTGAGTCTAGCATTGACTTTCTCTTGGAAATATGTTCACGTAAGACTAAGAGGTGCTTGGGACCGAACACTTGCAGTTACAGCTCCTGAAACAGGTGAGTGGATAGGCCGAGAATCCCATGAACACAATTACCATAAGTGCCGTAACCCTCATGCATGTCAGGCCATGTTACACGTCCTACTTGACTGCGGGGCTACAGCAAGGTTGGAGTACTAGCCTCCAAGCTGAGGCTGTGCCCTCTGTTTCTCAATCATTGTCTTACCGCTGTTTTGTAGACCACCTCGCCACGCCTGCATGCACATGACAATGCCGGATTTTATAAAAAAATATAGTCAAGCCCTACTCTAAAACTACCTGTAAATAAATACCGTTATGGTCAAGCCACAACACCATGGAGTGACAGGCTAAAGCAGCAGAGACAACAGCATAGAACAAAACAAGAGCCTGCATGGTTGCCGGAGATGGAGACAGACAGACAGACAGATAAAGAGTCGGAAAGAGATTTAGCATACCCATAGATAAACACGTCGAACAAATAATTGCGAGAGAGTGTGTGTGTGTGTGTGTGTGTGTGTGTGTGTGTGTGTGTGTGTGTGTGTGTGTGTGTGTGTGTGTGTGTGTGTGTGACGAAGAGCGCTAGGGAAAGACAAAGGAAAAGAGGGAGAGAAAGGCAGATAAAGGGAGAGACCAGTGTGTGTATGTGTAACAGAGAGAGAAAAAGAAGAGAGCAAGAAAGAGCAGGCAAATCAACCCGTCGACCATGCACTAGACCATCCACACGGAGAGGTACACGCCATGTGGAATACGCCCATGAGGTACAACAATGTCACCATATCCACCGGCACAGCTAAGGTATGGCTTCTGCTCCTCCAGCATTGCCGGGTCGTGATGCAGGTTGTGTGTTGGCAATAGTTGTCCTGGCCTTGCAGACATGTCGTGCTGCACGTATCTTGACTCTTTGGAGCACACTTTGGTTTGTTCGTTGCCATTACGGCGGCATATGTTCACTCCTCGGTGTAGCGTGCATGGATGTAGAGGTTCCTCTGCTGGTGCATGCCTGCCATCGCCGCTGCTGCCAGTGCCGCTGTGGCCGAAATGAACGTGAATCGAGACACTCAGGGCTGGGTGGGCGGTGATCGTGAAATGTATTCCACTGCTGTTGAGACCGTGTTGACCGGTTGATTTGGCTAGCGGGTCTCTCCTGCAGAATCGCAATCAAACATGAACAAACAAAGAACGCCAAGTGTTGGGCACACACGGTGTAGCCCGGGCCGCAAGGGCAGTTCAATGCAAGTAAATGTGCACTGGAAGCCGTGTCAGGCAATCACTCCAGGAAGCAGAAAAAGGTCGGTCCCTTCTCGGCAGGTGTCCCTTCTGGACTAGTTCCTGTGTACGTTGAAATACTGCGGTACCAGGTGATGAAGTACGGGGGGATTTCAAGATCCGGGTGGATACTTCCCGTGCTGTCATTACATTTTCAGAACCACGGTGTGTTTTGGGGAAACAACCACAACTCAAACTTAATTGCACTGCGTTTCACTCTTCAAAACCTTTCATTCTCCGCCTTGACCCTGGAAAGTCAAAGTGAGTACGAGCACGACTAGCCTGAAGCAAAGCCCCCCCCCCCCCCCCCTCTCCTTGCGTCCTCCGGTGCCCGACGGCATTACTGTTCTACGGCTATTTGCCACTCACCAGTACGCCGCAACCAATCCAGGCCTGTCGTCGTTGGTTACCACCTGTACTGGAGAAGGTGAAGTGGCGGTGGGATTGTACACGTGTAGCTCCAGCACGTCAGTGCGCGGTTTATTGGAGAATGGCTGGTGTGATGCCATCGCTGCCGGTCTCAACGGGAACAGAGAGCCTGGGAATTGAAGGAGAAACAGGTGAATTCCAATGCACCAACATACAGCCAGACGCAGACAGACATGAAATTGATTGCAGGATGAGGTGTCCATGCATATTCACTGACTACAGTTCATGTGTCAACCCTTATGATGGGCCCCAGGCCGAAACATTGTGGTGCAAAACCTTCCATCACAAATCACATTGCGTTCTTCAGTCTTGACCCGTCCGACTTGCATACACCGACCACTGTGTAACGTTATAGAGGACACTTCCGATGACAATATTGATAAAATTCATCTTGCAGCCCTTTGGACAGCTCCACAAGTTCCTGAAATACTAATTTGCCGAGAACTCTACCACAGAATGCCATGTGTTCACACGTGTATGTTGCAGGGGGGGGGGGGGGGGGGGGGGGGCACCTACTGACAGTACTGTGCAAAGAGCAGGGCCTGCTCTAGACATTCAACACAGCCCGGTCAGAGTGTACCTGGCGCATGCAGGCCAGCCGGGTCAGATCATCCGCCAGAAAACAACAAAAAAGCCTGCTCAAAACGCATCGTGACCAAATCCACCGCCGCTCGTCTGCCTTTGGAAATGGGTCTTGCACAAAGCGCATGATATGGATAGACAGGCATGGTCGTAGTCTAGCCAGGGGCGACCTTTCTTCCAAGAGTCTTGGAAAGCGCGAGTTCTTTTTCTCTCCGCTGCGGGCTCCATCGTCCAAATCACCAGTCAGCTGAAAACTTGCAACTGTGTCGAAAGCTATAGCCAAAGTTACGCTTTTGACTGCCTGCCCCATCGACTTTGAGTGATTTCCTGCTCGCCGCTGGCCAGATCGTGCTCGAACCAGTTGACCCTGGTTCACCCTAGCCGAGTTTCTGTCGCTTGAAGACTGTAGTGTGTACGGTTGCGCTACATAATCATTTGCAACAGATTTATTTATTTATTTATTGCTGCACCTCGTGGCATGTCAAGACAGCAAGCCAATTGAGGAGAGGGTGAGACCAACCATGGAAGAAGATGGGGTCCGCGAGTCGTAAAATACCGGTATTTTAGGAATCCATTGTCAGCTTTAGACATTTTTCAGCTGGGTCAGACTGGACCCGGTGCTACCTGCTCAGCCAGGTCGTGCAGCTCCCCAGCCGGGCGCGTGACCCGGCTGACCCGGCTCTCCAGCAGGCCCTGAAGAGTACTCAAAATGCCGTTGAGGCAGAGCATAGAGCAGTGGACTGAAAGGCACAGAGCCTTTCTGTCCATTGTTTGACTGTGCGTGTTACAAGTGTGTATTTCACAAGATGCGACAGCGTTCTTCACCTGTGCGATGGAAAACTGTGATGTCGTCGATGCCGAGAAAATGAAAAGGCTAAAAAAGCCAACAAAATGTTCCAAATGAATGAGCGTGCTTTCTACCGGACGCTTCGGGAACCTGCACACTCTGTTAGTGGTGCTTCAAATCGATTGGAGACGCCGAAATTTCCAGAGGCGTGTGAAGCCACGGAATTCTGGAGTGATCTTTTGTCTACACCTGCGCCGTTCACCGCTGGTGAGTGGTATGTAAGGCAAGCTGAATATTATGAAGAACACGTCCCTGTGCAGAGTAGCACAGTTATCACCCAGGACATCCTGGCTGACTGCCTGCGCAAACTAGCCTTGTGGAGGGCTCCGGGCCATGACAAGTTGCATGGGTACTGGTGGAAGAGGCTGACAAGCCTGCATTCTTACCTTCGGAGAGCCTTCCAGAGGGTGATAGATGGCCACAGTGACATTCCGGGATGGTTGACGTCTGGCGCTACTACTCTCCTTCCGAAGACTTCTCCACCTTCGGCAATGCCCAAAGATTATAGACCAATTACGTGTCTTCCGATACAGTACAAGCTCTTTACCGCCGCCATATCGAAGATTATGTGGCAGCACATCAATCAACATGAAATACTTGCAACGGAGCAGCGCGGTTGTGCAGCAGCTGGTCTTGGTTGCAAGGAGCACCTGATGGTGAATAAGATGATTCTGGAGGATGCCCATACGAAAGGGCGAAATTTGGTCATGGCATACCTGGACTTCAAAAAGGCGTTTGATAGTGTGTCGCATGAATGGATTCTACATGCTTTGATGATGTATCGATTCCACCCGTCTTTGGTCACAACTATTGCTCGTAGCATGCAGAACTGGAGAACGACAATGCACATATGCGACCAGGGGAGATGCAGGGTCACTACCGGCAACATTTCTATAAGAAGAGGCATATTTCAAGGTGACACATTATCCCCGTTACTGTTTTGCCTGGCGCTAAACCCAATCAGTTTTGAGCTCAACCGATTGCCTTTGGGATACAGAGTCAGCTGCAGAGACGCCGAGTTGAATATCAATCACTCTTGGTACATGGACGACATTAAACTCTACGGGAAAACTACAAAGGATATGACTACCCTCGTGTCTACCGTGTGTGGCGTTGGTAATGACATCGGCATGAATCTCAACCCGGCCAAGTGTGCCGTGCTGCACGTCTGGAGAGGAAAACCAGATGAAGGATGCTCTATCCAGGTTGGCGATGAGACCATTGCAGAGTCGCTACGACTCGATGAAACATACAAGTACCTTGGAGTAGTGCAAGCAGCCATGATACCTCACCCGCAAGACGCAACTCACTGCAGAATACAAGAAGAGATTACATTTGCTTCTTAACAGTGGATTGAATGCGCGAAACATGATCAAAGCCACCAATACGTATGCTCTGCCGGTTATGACATAATAGTTATGGAATCGTAAATTGGACCGAGGCTGAAATCAAGACCACAGATCGAGCGACAAGATCAGCCTTGACTGCGTCTGGATTTCACCACCCCAAAGCCTCAGTCAACAGGCTCTACATGAAGAGGGGAGATGGAGGCCGGGGCTTGGTCTCTTGTGAGGATATGCACGGCCGGAGCATGTGTGGCCTGGCCCGCTACATGAGTACCAGCCCAATAGACAGAATAAGCCTGCTTTATCACTATCATCAACAAAAACCTACAACAAAAAGCCACTCAATAACTGCAAAGGCCGCTAAGTTCCTGTCGAGTTTGGATCTGCCAGCAGCTGGACCAGCTTTACCCAATAAGCATACCATTAAACAAGCGTGCGCCGAGCGAAAATCCAAAACAGTTTCCACTATGCCGCTGCATGGGAGATATTGGAGCCGATTGGAGGAGAATCGCCTAGATAAGGAGCTTACCTTCATGTGGTTGAAATCAAGGACACTGAAACCTTCAACTGAAGGCATGATTATGGCAGCACAAGACCAATCCCTCAAAACGAAAAATTACCAATATGCCATAATGAAGTCAATTGCTCAAACTGATGCCAATTGCAGGCTTTGCAAGGGCAGCTTAGAAAGAATTGACCACATTGTCAGTGCCTGCCCAGTTCTTGCTCGGACCAGTTACATTGAACGACATAACCGGATAGTAAAGTATGTGCACTTCGAAATGTGTAAAGCACGAGATCTACCTACTGGTGCTTCACGCTTCGACCACCAGCTTTAGGCATTGGTCAAAAGTGATCGGTATCGCCTCTATTGGGAGTATTCGGTCCCAACTGACCTGAAACTATCAGCAAACAGGCCCGATCTACTCCTTGTTGATGACAAGGAGCGCATCGCCTACATTATAGACATCAGCGTTCCTGGTGAGAACAACATCAATAAGAAAATGGCTGAAAAGTGCTCGAAATATTATGATTTGAAGCGGGAGATTTCCAGGATTTGGTCCCTCACCCAGGTTGACGTGGTCCCTGTGGTTGTCGGTGCCCTGGGAGGCTTGTTGGGAGAGACTCCTCAATGCCTTCGGACTGTGCAGGGAGGAGACCTGGCTATTGTACAACAGGAGGCTATCCAAGGTTCGATTAAAATACTAAGAACTATCCTTAACATGTAGATGCACCTCTGCTGCGTTTGCACGTTAAAGGGGAAGTTAAGGCAAAAATTAAAATTTCACCAGTTGTAGTCTTCGGGGTGCTGAGTCGAATGGTCGTGGTCCGAGGAAGCTGAGACGCTCCCTTCCTACTTGAATCCCAATCGAACTCGCGCACTTCCACCGAAACTGGGTGACTGCGCCCTACTAGATGGGGATTTGTATGCAAAATGTCACTAAAAGCGCCATTTCGTTCTTATAAAAGCACGGATGACCGCGATTGGCCCATATGTTGTAGTCTTTTGGACGCTGCGTCGACTGGTTTTGGTCCGAAAAGGCTGCGATGCAGCGTTCCTCCTTTATTCCCAATCGAACATGGTTGAAGAAGCGGTCACGTGGTCCTGCGTGCCCAAATCACCTGGTCACCACGCCAGCAGGTGACAACTTTCACACCAAGGTTGAACTCGAGTTCAACTCGAGTGACAGGACTACACCCAAAAAAGGTCAAACAGGCTAGTAAGTTGTACCCTGCAGGCACGGTGACCAGGTGACTGGTGTACGCAGGAGCACGTGACCGCTTCTTCAACCATGTTCGATTGGGAATAAAGGAGGAACGCCGCATCGCAGCCTTTTCGGACCAAAACCAGTCGACTCAGCGTCCAAAAGACTACAACATATGGGCCAATCGCGGTCATCCGTGCTTTTATAAGAACGAATTGGCGCTTTTAGTGACATTTTGCATACAAATCCCCATCTAGTAGGGCGCAGTCACCCAGTTTCGGTGGAAGTACGCGAGTTCGATTGGGATTCAAGTAGGAAGGGAGCGTCTCAGCTTCCTCGGACCACGACCATTCGACTCAGCACCCCGAAGACTACAACTGGTGAAATTTTAATTTTTGCCTTAACTTCCCCTTTAAGTAGCTAAGAGACTTGAATAACGACTGATAAAGACTGATAATTATTTCCTTTGTTACTCCCTTCATTGGTTGATGTACTTTGCCTGTCGCTGCAAATTCTTTATTATTGTTGTTGGAGTTCGGATTGAGTTTCTTTCCTTTCTTCCTCTTCCTTCCCCTATTTCTTGTCCCTTTGGTTTTTAGCTTTTTTTATTTTTTTCACTTTCTTTTTGCTGTCCCACCCATGGAAATATTTCCCGGTGGGTCTGGCTTAT